TAAAAAAAAAAAAAAAAAAAAAGGTTGTCCATAAAAGAGACAACACATTAAGGGGAACGTAGTCACAAACAAGATAACATGTTAGTCTACTAAAGAAATCCTCGAACACGTTCGCCATGCTATATGACTTATAGAACTATACACATGATATTTTGAGACAATAAAAAAATTACATATTTTTATTCCTTAATAAACGGTGTTTTACTTGCTATGGATTTTTATCATTTTTTATGGAAAAATATATGTTTTTCCTCGCCATTTCCAGTGGTTCTAAAAAAATGCATTTTTATTGGAATTGTTTTACTGCACGTGAAATTTTGCTCCTACAGAATGCCCAAATATTGTACTTTCAAAATCTTAAATAAATTTCATTCAAAACCAACATTATTTTTTTTGGTTTTTCACGAATGATTGGATGGTGATTGTTATACCACTTAGTTCATTGTAGCAACTCGACATCAACATACAAGGCAGACAACCCATTCATGATAAGGAGAATTGTAGCAACTCGGAAGAGATTAAAAGAAAATGACAAGGCAACACATAAGTAACCCGAACGCGATAGGTTGCATCATTAGATAATAGTGAAAGAACACAACCATAAACTCGGACCAAAAGTGAGCAAGGCTCATCGTCAAAACCCTGTCCGAGCGTCTGGCGGTCGACCCTACATGTTTCATCCGGCCGCCAGTGTCGGAATCGTCAGGGGTCTTAGTCGCGGCGGTGATAACCTATGTGTCGCCGCAGAACTACTTATACTACAAAAACTTAAAGTCCTAAGCACGAAACGACACCTCCTAACCGAGCACCCCTGACAACGATATCAGCAAGCACCACGGGCCCAAGTAAGGGTACCCAGCAGGTCCACAAGACCAGTAACCTGTCACCGCACCTCATCTACTTTGGTCGGCCAAAACCACATAGCCAACGGTGCCCCTACGTCATAGGCCAGATACCCTATCGATTCGAAAAACATGCCCAATATCCACGCGTTTGGTCTTGAAAAAAAACCCAAAAAACGTCCACTAGTAGCGTCCAGGACCCCTTTTCCACCCGGTCAAACATCTCACCCAGCAATCCCAAACACCTCCAAACTTAAAAGAAAAATTCAGCAACGCATTATCAAAATAGTCATCAGTAAACTCACGTAACCTCAATTCTATCTTCAGGGACAAAAGAAAAGCCCCTACTGCTTCCTGCGTACTTGAAAACCGTTTGGCACGATGTAAAAACGAAGTGATCACCGCCATTTTTTGTTGGCGATTGGTGTACGATCTCGCATCCTGCAGGTTCTGAAACCGTATCTTCCCATTTTTCACCGCAACCTGATTCTTGTGCACAGCTGCACAACTCACCCTCTCCGGGTGCCCAAGATTGTCCAGTACGCACCCGAGAAACTCCCACGGCCCCAATCGGTTAGTGCATTCCAAGGTGAGGTTACTGTCATAAGACCCCTCGAAAATGCCCAGAATCTTCCATGCCTTTTTCTCTCCCCTCACATCTCCCTTCCTAAACTTAATAAACACCGTCGCATCATCAATTAAACGAATCCCATGCACTAGACTGCGATCATCACCCAATGACGACAAAAAACAAAATTCCGAATAAGCACACAGCATGCATGCCAGGGCTGGGCTCGAGGGCTTGCCCATCGGGATCCCAATGATCTGTCTCAATATCTCCCCCCCTACCTTTGTGAAGGTGTTAGCCAGGTCAAAGGTCACAAATGTTAAGACCATCTCAAAACCAAGACAGTTTCATCCTTCCAACTTTCTTCCCCGTAGGATTTTGGCTCCTTTCCCTTGCTTCTTGATCAAAATACCTTCAGTACCTTCCCGACGCCAGAAATCGATCAACCACCGAAGAGCCTCAATAATCGATTTGTGCGGGAGATTGCAAAACATCTCCTTGACATCATACGCACCAATCAACATCTCCTCACCGTCAGTAACGTCGTTGTTAATGGCATCAACCTTACTCAGCAATAAATCGGTACTCTTCATGTTGAAATGCGATCGATTCGGTAATTCCCACACCATCTCGTTCACCGCCATAGACACCTTCCTACACCCGCGTACATTCCCTTCCGAGACGGAGGACAAATTGGTCGCCATTTTGAAACATCCTTGTGCTTCGGAATTGCATATGCCCTACCCATCTTCCCATTGTCATCCCACTTCGCAAGCACCGACAACCCCTTCTCCATATAGCTAAGCTTCAGACTATTCAAAATAGCAGGCTCCTCTCGCCGTACTACCTCGAAACATGCATTTGACAGAAACAACTTATCCAGTCCACTTCGGTACACCCCTGGGCAACACAACAGGGTATCCCCTGGGTTATGATCGATAGGAACACGGACCAAACCCTCCATTCTCTTGATCCAATCCAACACCTCCCTCAAATGTATATGTGGCTCGCGCAAGTCACACCCAACCCCATCATTCCAACACCCGGCCAGATCATTCGCCCTAGGGATCGGGATCATAAAATCTACACTAGACAGACTTTCCGTAATCTCCTTCTTCACCCGCCTAGCCAGATTCTGCGTATCAGGGACAGGGATGTTGCGAGAGTTCTTCAACCATTCCGGAATACAGTCAAGCTCACTTAAACGACAACAAACGTGACCCCCGACCCTAGTCCAAGAAACATCTGACGCACAGCAAGAGCAAATCGAGGAACCCGTCTGTGCAAACTCTCTGAAATTAAACATAATATCTCCAATGCTTTGGTTCTTCGCCCAAACGACCCGAGAACATCGGGCCACCAGTTCCTTCCATTCAACATTAGCCTCTGCTGACTTCACTAACCTCTTACAAAGATCCCGAATCCCAGGTTTGCTCAGCCGATGATCATAGGTAATGCGAACTGTCAATCTACGACGAACATTAACATTGAAACGTCTACGCAGAACACCAGATATGATCAGGCGAAGGGAACAACGTGTCCTTTTTTCAGAAAAAGCTCGAATAGCCAAAAAACAACGAATCAACGTTCCGAATTCCCATGCCCACAAGTCCTTCCGACAAGGCGGATATGATAATTGTCGTACTAAAAAAGGCTTCAAATAACTCAGCTGAGCACAAAACGGAACAATATTAACCATTGTCACCACAGATCCTTCCCAGAAAAAACCTCGACATTTTTTAAGAATACCTGACTCCCTTTCCGACCGAACCACCGAACTACCAAAACGACATTTCACAATCTTCCAATTATCAATCAACCGTCCTCCCGTTTCACAATAAATGTCCACAGAAGTCCTATTCAAACTCAAACACTCATCCAAGATGCGTAGTAATAAGACCGAAGTCCGTCCCAGCGAAGGACAAAGGGAGAGAGGTGGCTCAATGACAACATTCCCAAGAGTTTTCCTATTCTTCAACTTCTCCTTACACCGCTCCCGCTTACGCTTCCTTCTCCGTTTACCCTTACACTTCACATCTCTCAAGTTAAGGCTCGGATTAACCAAGCGGATAAAACTTTTCTCGACAGAAAGAAGATCATACTGTTCATATCTGCAAATTGGCAGCATCACATACTGGGCCACCCCGCATCGTCGCAGCCAAGCATACAATCTGTGATTCCGCTTGCCACCTTCAACCACTCCTACATTCAAACATCTATACAAGTGCTCATTTCACCGTACAGCCAAGGACCGACCTGTAGATCCCAAATACACGTGCCGAGACCAGGGAGAAACCAGGGCATACACCCATGCGCCATCTCCCGTATCCAAATCTTCGTCATCACGTAACAACTTCTCCAGATACGACTTGAATTTCCCCACCCACGGGATAGCATCGCAAAGAATGAGTTTCAGTACCACCAACCGATAAAATTCATTGAACTCTCGATTACGCAGGAAAAATTCAGAAATCGCATCCTTACCTGCACCTTGTTCACGAAACTTCCTACAGATGACCGCCCATTTCCACAAGTGATCACGCTCGGGAACCGAGCCTAGAGCTCAGTAGAACACCCCTCTCCCGACTCGGAAGTTTCTGCAATGGGGGGAGAATCCTCAGAGACTTCATGAACTAGAATCTCCTTGTCGGCCTCTTTCCCTTCGTTACTGTTACTACCAAAGGCCTTATCCACCCGATGCTCTGCGAGATCCTGAATCATAAGCTCTATAGCCCGGGGCTTTAAACCAGCTTCTCGGCATAACATCTCCAGCCCCGACTTCTTATAATTATGTAGATCCTTCTTCTGCGCTTCGACGTACTGAAAACGCTCGTTCACCCCACCCGAGACTGCGCCTCCATCCCCTAAATCCTGCCTAGGGGTGGCTTTCAAACCTTTCCGAGTGGAACGAACAGCCACCGCGTCCAGCCTCGTTTTAAGATTGGTCCCCCCTCCTTCACCACGCTGGCCAGTCCCAGCAGCCGGTGCTTTGTTCAACTGCTCTTTTAGCTTCACAACTTCTCCTTCCGCTACAGCACATTTCTCTTTCAGCACTTCTGCCTCCAGACTAGCACCCCTATGCATCTCCTTCATTCTGGCGTACTCTTGCTTCCATTTATCCGCTTTTCGGATATTGTCTGTCCAACGTGGCTTCGGTGATGCACGGGCCGTCCGGAGTACCAATCGCGATGCTACCACATTTATTTCCTGTCCTGAGTGCTTCACCTTTCCAAAGTTCAGCCTCTTCCCGATCTTTGGCGCTTTGCAGTTTCAAACGTCCTACTTCGACACGAAGGTCATCTAGCTCAGCCTGAAAACTGTTTCTCGACATAGCCGCAGCCCTCAACTGTTCAATTTCATGCTTCATTGCACACAGATCATCTTCCGGGGGTCGTTGAGTCAATACCTGCCTCTTCAGCTCCATTATTTATTTCTGCAATGTAACCACCTTATCATCATCCGTTACACCATCGCCTGACGTAACCAATCGCCTCAGCCTATCGTTCTCCTTTTTCATCTTGTCCAACTCCTCTCTCAGACTGCACTCCTCCGATTTCTCCTTCAATCGCGGACAGTTCTTCTCCTCCATCCGTTTATCTAGGCGTGCATTTATTTCCGCCTCCAGGCGTTCCCGTTCTTTTCTCCACCCTTCCTTCCGCTCCTCTTCCTCCTTCAAGGTCTTCTGTCGTTGTTCTTCTTCTCTACGCTTGGCTTCTCTTTCTTCATCTGCTACTGTCTTAGCGTAGCACCGGTCCAGCTTCTCTTGATTGAGTCTCCAGAAACTAGGACGACCAAACGAAGGATTGGAATTAAAACCCGACCTGGAGGCATAACCCCGAGAGAAGGAACCCATATTAGGCACTTCACCAGCAGGAGCCGGCAAAGCCAGAGGAGTTGTATTAGCCCCCGTGGCATGCCCTCTACCGAAGGAACGATGTGGATATTCGCGGAGGAAATGACTAGGGGAACCACAATTATAACATGACTGCGAAGGAGGGTATTGTCCAGCCATAGTAACTGATTAGCAGAGTTACGACAAGGCCGACGAGCCACTCTCACGTAGTCTAATCTCTACGGAGGTTACTACGTAGAAAAAATGGTGATTGTTATACCACTTAGTTCATTGTAGCAACTCGGCATCAACATACAAGGCAGACAACCCATTCATGATAAGGAGAATTGTAGCAACTTGGAAGAGATTAGAAGAAAACGACAAGGCAACACATAAGTAACTCGAACGCGATAGGTTGCATCATTAGATAATAGTGAAAGAACACAACCATAAACTCGGACCAAAAGTGAGCAAGGCTCATCGTCAAAACCCTGTCCGAGCATCAGGCGGTCGACCCTACATGTTTCATCCGGCCGCCAGTGCCGGAATCGTGAGGGGTCTTAGTCGCGGCGGTGATAACCTATGTGTCGCCGCAGAACTACTTATACTACAAAAACTTAAGTCCTAAGCACGAAACGACACCTCCTAACCAAGCACCCCTGACAATGATATCGGCAAGCACCACGGGCCCAAGTAAGGGTACCCAGCAGGTCCACAAGACCAGTAACCTGTCACCGCACCTCATCCACTCTGGTCGGTCAAAACCACATAGCCAACGGTGCCCAATATCCACCGCACCTCCCACAAAATTGGATGGTCTTTCGTCCACAAACCCCAATTTCTCTCTTGCCACTGGACCTTGTTAATTGGAAATGGGGATCACAGGTTAAAGGAAAAATCAATTATACTAGATCTCTCCACACTCTCACAACTAAATCAACCTAAAAAATTCTTAGACCAAAACTAAACTAAGTTGACAGAGTAAATAACAGGTGAATGAAACATCTCAATATTAGCAAAGAAGAGTTAAAAAAAAGTCAAGTGGTTTCGCAAAAAGAGAACTAGGCCAGCGAAAGTAGCCTCATTACAATGACAAATAAAACATAGATGTCTCAACTAGGCCAGCGAAAGTAGCCTCATTACAATGACAAATAAAACATAGATGTCTCCTCACCATTGATTGGATAATTGATAAGACAAGATAAACAGGGAATAGTCCAACCATGGTGCACATTTTGTAAAATAATTTTTCCAAGCAGGTTGATTCCTGAAACAATTGAACATATTTTTCTCCTATGCCCAGGATTTGTGTGGTTGTGGAGATGGTGAGACAAAATTTGGGATCAACTAGAGACGCATGCAATATGGTCATGGGGATGGAAGCCCCTGCTCTTGGAAGTATGAGAGACATGCAACGACTTCACACAAAATCTCTTCATAATAGCAAGAAGGGTCATAGTGTGGGCCATTTGGCGAAGAAGGCGCAAGAGGAGTCAGGCCAGATGACCCAAAATTTACGGAAAACATCAAAGAATAGATTCAATTGGACATTACCAGGCAATGAGAGGTTGTGAAGGAGAAGATCCAACACTTATTCAACAAAAAAGAAATCATGGATAACATACAAAAATTCAACTCTGACTAGCTTGGAGGGAAACAGGGAGGCAAAATAGGAAAAGTTGTATGGAAAGGGGAGGTAGAGGGTACTGAGAGGGAAATCACCAGAAACTACATAATTTGCTTTGGAGATTGGTGCACAATAGATCCTACAATACCCATGAGACAACTTATGGAATTCCCAGACCCCTTCCTCCTGCATGATAAGGTACTGACCCCAGTTTCATGGTTTGGGTAAGGAGACACAAAATAATAGTGAAGATCAATATCATCTGGTGAGTAGCTAAAAGGGCCTTGGTTGATTGGTTTCTTATCGCGCCCAAGTTAGGGTGAAGAGGTCCAAGGTTATCTCACACTTATATTAATTTCTTCTTGGATTATTCATTACAAGTTCAAAAAGGGATGTTAGACCCGGTTTCCAGTAGGTGCAGCTCCCCACCAAAAGATGGAGTGACCAAATCGGGTACTACTACGCGGGGCTGCTCTTACTACCTGTAGAGTCAAAAAAAAAAAAAAAAAAAAAACCAAGTACTTCAGCCCAAATCCCAAAACTACCCTTCAAGAATGGCAAGGGTCACTCACACTAGCCATAACCACCCATTGTCAATCTAGCAATGGTGGGACACTCTCTCTAGCCACATCAAGCTAGATGCCGATGTGTCTCACGAGGTCTGGTAGAGCCCGTCCCGTCCCAGGTCGCTCGGGTTGTCAGTCAAGAGATGATGAGACACTACTACTCAGACGTTTACGCGAGTGTCGCGGTCATCCCAACCTTCCTTCCATAATCACATTCAAATTTTGCATGTCGACTGCCAATAGCAAAGATACCAGTATTGTTCCTGCCTGCACCGCTTCTACAAACTCTGCTTCCAGTATCATGTCTTCAATGTGACCATGGCCACAGGACGAGTCCGATTGTTATTGTTGTTGTCTTTGTTTCTTTTTATTGTTGTTGTTGTTGTTGTTGTTGTTGTTGTTATTAATGTTGCGCCTCCCCTGCCAATGTTGCTCCTGCTAGCGTTGCACCTGCTAGGTCCTCCCCTTCCAGCACCACTCCCTCCAGCATTGCTCCCACCAGCGCTGCTCCCACCCGCTCGCATGCCAACTCCCCGCTCACAAGTTGTGCACTGGCATACTGAAGACCTAGCCATGGGAAGGGTGACAAACTATCCTTCAATCACCCTAATCCTTCACAGTCATAATCGTGCAAAGCAAACCCTAGGTCCCTTCCGTGCATAAGGTCGTTGCCCAACTCCATGATTCACATTTTCTGCTAGTGGAGGACGTTTGCCTACCCTCCTTTATCCTAAGCTATTCACCCGACGAAGATCATTCTCACGAAATTGTTTTCGTTAAATTTATGGCAGAGGTTAGCAACATCTGCGACATACATCATTATTATTATTATTATTATTATTATCACACATCTGCCATGCATACTCTTCTCCCTGCCATTTCGCCACCAGAGTTTTGTCCATCCCTTGTTGATTGTCTTATCTCCTCCCCCTATCCCCCACCCAAACGACAAACCTTCCTCTCCCTCCTCTCTATAGTGCCCCCCACCCAGTGGCAGCCACAGAATATGACAGTCAGGACCAACAACAGGGAGGGGTCAGCGGGAAACCCTAGGTTAAAAGGAGACGCCAGCAGGTGATATTCACGTAGGAGTGAAACAATTAAAACACATGCCAAACCCATCGAATTCAACCCCCCCCATGGTCAATTGCCTGAGTCACCCACATGAGTGTACGACGCCGCAACTCATTAGCATTACCCTCTTAGCTCTGTAAATCATCATACATGATATCATTGTCCGCATCAGCCTGGTGGGTAGATGACAAATCAATTGTAAAAAGAACTTTCAGAACAAGTGGGGAAACCGCATCACCTACCTCCGCCGAAGCACCGTTGTCAAACAATGATGACGATGCCTTTTGACCTTTCGCGGACTGTTGGTAAGACTGTGAAACAGATCTCAACAAAACTTCCGGAGCAAGCGCCCGGATCGCCGCTCCCACATCCGTCAAATCTCCATTATTCACTACAACAGCCCGAGACTAATAGCCAAACGATACTGGCACCATGAGATCGTCACCCAATTCATCACTCGCCTGAGCAAACGGCCACTGTTGCTGGATACAAAGTAGAGCAATTGGTGATCTCGCTGTTGTAGATGTTGCAATTGTCGATATTGCTCTTGTTGCCGCTGTTGATGTTGTTGATGTTGTTGATGTTGTTGATGATGTTGTTGATGTTGTTAATGTTGTTGATGTTGTTGATGTTGTTAATGTTGTTGATGTTATTGATGTTGTTGATGTTATCCATGTCACGCTATCTTGACCTTCAAATGAGAGCAACTCACATAGTGGACTACCCACGTCTCTCCTGGCTAGAAGCCCGACAAACATGTCTTTCACTTGCGCCAGCATCCCAACACACTCGTTTAGGGCAGTCATCCCCTGTGCTCTGTCTTTTTTTTTTTTTTTTTTTTTTTTTTTGGCCGAAAGCTCCAATCTATTCGTGGGGAGCAACACGTGCTGGGAACGGGGCCCAACATCCCATATAGAGTTACACAAGTCATTTGAGATACCGGGGCCATTACCTGACTTCGACTGAGAATCAATCTGCGAACTATTGAAGAAACTCAAGAGAACTAAAGGAGAGGTTGAAAAACTATGAATGACTATTGACCTCTTTTCGAATGCTTAGAACCCTTAGACTCCCAAGCAAAACTCTCTAAAATTGTTCAACACTGTCTTATTCCCTGTCGAGCTCTCCTAGGCCTCACACCCCCACCCCACTAGGTTACAGAGCAACACGACTCGGCCCAGCTCCGGTCAACGTCGTCCCAACAACAACCCTTGGTTGTCCCTTGGAATGCCCCCCCAAAGCATCCCCAAATCTCTCTATAAGGCCTCACGCTCCTGCAATCAGCTGGTTACAGGGCAACACCCCAACACCGGTCAACGTCGTTCTGACATCGAACAACCACAGTTTCATGAATGTACTAGTATTAAACAGCCTAAAGCGAGTTGCTAGAAGTCCCCAGAATCCTAAAGTATTCTCTTTTTTTGCTAAGAAACAAAAACATATGCACAATTCAGAAAACAGCTCTGATACCAATCGGTCCCTTATACCCCAGTCCGGCAAGACTTATAGCAGCAGAGCCACCATTTCCGTTGCTGCTGTACCCTATTCTCATCCTAGTAGGACGCGTGATATCCCTCCATCTCCTCTCCCGCTCACCTCGATCTCTTTTTCGAGATACCGGGGTCATTACCCGGCTTCGGTTGAAAAAATGTTTGAGAATATTTGCGATAATTCAAAAAACATGAGAATAGATCGCAACGGTCCTACAAATGCTCAAAACCTCGAAATCCCTAACTAACCCTTCCAAGGCTCTCCAGCACAGTTTTACTCCCTGTCGAGCTCTCCAGGCCTCACACCCCCACATCCTGCTGGGTTACAGGGCAACACAACTCAACCCAGCTCCGGCCAGTGTCGTCCCAGCAGCAACCTTTGGTTGTCCCATGGAATGCCCACCCCAAAGCATCCCCAGATCTCTCTACCAGGCCTCACGCTCCTGCATCAGTAGGTTACAGGGCGACACCCCAGCACCGGCCAGCGTCATTCTGGCATCGGACAACTGCG